TCCTTTAAATCGGCCAAATGGCCGCTGTCAGAGGTGATGCCAAGATGCTTGGATCACTTCCAGAACGCTCTGCGATCATCGTTCTGGCCTCCTGATGTGTACTCTCCATATAAGCCCGTAACATACAAAAGTTAAATAGAAGCGGGCCAGAGAGACTCGGAAACAAATCATTTTTCCGTTATCGTGCTCTTATTCTCCTATTAGCTTATAATCAAGTACTGCAATGTTATTTTTTTCCTTAACAAATTTTTTTTTTTTGAGTCGAAAGTAGACGAAACCTTGCATTTAATCTTGTGGCGTACTTAGAAGTCCCAGCAAATGTATCCGTCGTAAATTTTTTTTTGGGTCTGTTTAGTGCAGAAACGATGCTTCAGATCGAGGCGAAGCATAATATATCCGGCTTTAGTGCTGGGTGATCTTTTATTGGTGGAGTTAAAACATATTCAATTTGAAATTTTCTTCTAACTTTAGTTTGGGTGTAAACTGATAAGGAAAGTTATTTATGCGCAGCAAGATTCGGTTCAATTGGTTTTTTTTTGTCCCATAGTGGTCAGTGTTGAGTCTTCAGGGTTTTCCTTGATATTTTTTGTTGTCAGCTCCTGGGGTATATGGAGTTGTATTCATTAGCCCATTTAGTTGCTGCTTCTTTAAGTGTGATTGACTAATTGAAATTTAGAAAGTTTTCATAAATATATTATTCATTTATCTGCTGCTGGTAGTCATCATTAGTAGTCGTTTTTTGTTTAGCTCTTGTAAAGTTTCGTGGGCGTCATGAGTTTCTTGCGTTTACGCACCAGATGTGGTGCTGAATGTGTTGCTGCTCCGGCACCATCTCTAGCTGGTATTTCAGGGAGTTGGTGTGCTCTTTTCTTCTATAAGCCTGAAACTGAGCTGTGCTCTTTTCTTTCATAAGTCTATAACTCAAATACATGATCTTATTCTTTGGCGCGTGTTGTTCTATGTTTGTTACTGCTTCTATAAAATATCCGGTGGGCTATGGCATTTCAATTGGAATCGCTGATATCGCAGCGAATGTAGCCTTCGTATTCTTTCGTTTCGGGGCGTGGGGCTTTTTTTCTATGAGACATTTTCTAAAAGATGCGAGTGTGAACTGGCGTGAGTTACAATTGCTTTTTGGTCGTTGTCATTTTGAGACGCTTGACGTGAACGTAAAGTCGAATCGAGTTGAGGTAATTTAATAATTTCAAGTATTCCGGTAACTTTGAACTTCAACCAAAGAGGCCATAGCCTAAGAAGGCCCAAAAACTAACACAACTGGATCCAATTAAAATTTTGGAATTTGGAATAGAATGGAATGATGTTTGGTCAAAAATTGACGTAGCTTGTGCAAGCAGTCTCAATTTGAGATCTGGCTGAGATGCAGGATAAGTTAAATATAATTCTCGGCATCGTTTTGGTTAACCACGAAGCAATTTCGTCGAAAGACCCGAACAGCTGCCGCCATTCGAGCTTCTGGTCGAGTATGCATGTGAGGGAGTTTACCTGCATTTTATTCCCTTTTATATGGGATTTGCGTAGCCCTCGAGCCCTCGACCCTCTCTCATACTCTGCGTTTGTCCTTTTTGCTGGGTCGTTTGTTCGCTCAGTCGCTCGCTCGGCCGTTCGGCTGCATGTCATCGTTAGTGTCTGCTCTCGGCAGGGATTTGTAATATTATGCTGTCAAGTCAAACATGCCCACTGACAGTTAGCAACTGTCTGACGGGCGGACGGTTGACTCGAGTATGTAAGCTGACGTCGGGCTACACCCACCACCCCTCGAAGCAGTGGGCGGCCAATGGGTGATGGGTGTGCGGGTATGGTAAAATTGCGGGTTGGCGTGTGGCATGCGGGGGGCTGCCAATTACACTTCTGACTTGACGCCGGGGCAACGTGTGTGCAGAGGCGATGACAGTGTATCCTCGTAGTCCTTGGTCGCCGGCGCTGCGGGTTTCGGTTTGATACTAACAAATAATGACATGGCAATTTGCAGATTTCACAGCATGCCCAAAGCTCTCTGGCTGCACGTAAATAGTCGGCAAATATTCCACTCGAACATCGGCAGTCAAGTCGAGTTAACCAAGCCAATTCAAAGCGCAGCTACGAGTTTGTTTAGTGCTGCCCGGCTTGGGATTGCTGCTGCTCTGCAGCTGGAATTGGAACTAGAATTGTTGGCCGTCCCGGCTATCAGTGTGTCAAGTCAAGGTGGTTGCTATTCCTCCTGCAGCTCCTCCTGCTGCTGTTGATCCCCCGCCGTGGACCGCCTGCCAATGTCAGTTAGCTAAAAGTCCTGGGCTAGTCCCCGCCGCTTGTCAACCTCTCTGTCCGCCCCGCTGTGCGTCGCATGCGCCCCAAAGAAATTCAATTGCGAGCATGGGTTAAAAGCTTGCCAAACTGACAGCAGCTCGACCCGGACCCGCACCCGCACCGGGACAGCGGCGTCTCCTGGCCACTGGTGGTCGTGCTCGGGTGAAGACCTCCTACGTGTCCGCTGTCAAATTTCCTTGTCTCTGGCCCAAGCTCAGGCCTACATGTCAGCCCTACACCGAGCGTGTGTGTCTCGCTCTTCCTCTGTGGTATTGGTAGAGTTGGAGAGCTGAATGTATTTCTTTGGCCTGGCTGCTGTCACGAGATTAAGTCATTAAATAAATGTAAAATCGGAAAACAGCAAATTAAAGTCCTATAACTAGTATGGGGTGTTCGTTGTTTGTTGGATGTGCTAAAACAGCTTGATTTATTAGAGTTTAAAGTATGTAGTGTTTTAATGCAAGTATGGAGAGTCAATGATAGTATATGAATCTGAGTAGGAGTTTGTAAAGTGCGTTCGTTGCACCTTTTCTCTTTTGAATTTTTTCTATTGAATTTTAATTATTTCAATATTTCAACATCTGCATATGCATTTGCTTGGAATTGGCATTATATAGTGAGTAAAGTGTTTAAAGAAATATACATATATATGATTCTATTATATTTTGTCATAGTGAATACACTATTGGTATTGGTTTCAAGTACTGCTTGTCACTTCGACCTCGTACGGGAATTGGAATGTGCCTTGATTGCTTGCAAAGCATTTAGTCGTGAATTGTGAGGTGGAAAGCCAGAAGTTATCTGGATTGATTTCATGAATACATCATTCGTATCTTTAAATGCACTTTATAATTGATGAATTGAATAGTTCGTAGCTGTTTGAATGATTCCAGTAATTTTTCTGGTCTGTGCTATAGCTATAACTGGATACCGCGTCGTCATTCTCATCGTTATCATCAGTTCAGGAATATCGTCGTCATTCATCGTAATTTGAGTGGTTGCCTCGGAAACGTATAAAATTTTTTCTTGATATGTATTCTGTATTTCCTGTGATATTCGGTGTCTGCATTTCGGCATATGATGGTACCTCGAAGTTATACATATTGCAAGGAGTTGGACCTGGGAATGAGCCCTGTGGTGGTACATACTGTGTGCCATGTATTTGTTTCTCTTTTGCTTTTTCTATGACAAATAAAATTTGTTCTTCAATGGAATCGAAAAATTTTGTAATTTAAAAAAAATAGCAAAGTAATGCAATTGGAAAACTCGGAAGTAAAATTTCATGAATTATAAGTCTAATTATTGTTAATTTAACTATAATAAAAAATGTACACAGAAATTGAATGCTCGTGTTTCTTTTTCCGATTAAGGCAAATGTAAAATATCGAAGAAGTTTCATAGTCAGCTTACTTGAGTTTGCGTGCTCTCATCTCTTCTTTTTCATTTGCGCAAGAGCTATGCCTACTGGTCAACTGCCAAGTATCATTAGATGTTGGCTGAGCCATAAAAAGGCATTAAGATTGGGCATTGGCGGACTGTCGACTGCTGCTGGCTTACAATCAATTAAGTTGGGGCTGCCACAGCCCATGGTTATGGTCGGCATTTCTAAAATGTTACGAGCCTCAAATTGATAGAAACATTTATGCAGCCTTGGAGTTAGTTGCCTTTAACCAACAACCAGAAGCAACAGCAGCAGCATCAGAGTCAGCCAACAAACCGGTTTACCAAAGGCTTTTGCCGACCTGCCAATTGACTTTGTCCATTCCGCCGGAGAGAGACCCAAAGGCCGTCAAGTATTTGTATTTATTGCACTTCCTTTTGCACATAACTTTCAAATTAATTGTCGCTCCATGTAAATTAATACATTGCTGCAGCGCTTGCTAGTTATATATATTTTCAAATGTATTTGATTTTTTGACTGCAAATATCGGTTGCCGTTTCGCGATTTAGTTTGGGTGTGCGGATATGAGTGTCGTTTTTTGAAGTTTCCGAACTAAGATCGGTTAATATTATTTTCTATGTTGGTAAATTGGGTGCTAATTTCGCTTTCGCTTTTTGTCTACATATGTACATATAAGCTAAATAATTGATGCGTTTCCTACATAGAAGAGTCAATTGGTTCAGCTTTGCATTATGTTTTATTCCTGTTTCAGGAACTGTGCCTCGGTTTTGTTGGGAGTAATCAATGGGTATTTCATTCTTTGTTTTTTTTTTTCATTGATATTCATAGCTTCAAGGATAGGCCATGTAATCTTCGCAATTAGTAGTGGAGTCATCATTAATTGCTTTAGCATTGTCATATTAGATCTTGGCGATGAATGAAGGAAGATGAGCCTGTGGAAGTACAAAAAAAATTAAGATGCATGGCATATTAAATTGTGAATAAATTCTTCTGGCTCTTAATGTTACTTCATCATTGTTTTAATTAAAATTTGATTTTTGAGGTCTACTGTGTAAAGGGACGAAATTTAGCTAATAATTTGCTTAATTTTGCAAAAAAAAAAAGTGGTATTTTTCTTTTTTTTCTTTTAGTTTAAGACTTAGAGAGAATGCGGCGATAACTCTAGGAAAATATTCAGTTAGGCAGGTGTTTAATTTGGGATCTCCTAAATATGTATATGGAAGGCTGAAAGGTGTTAAAAATAAATGATGTGCAAGTGGATTTTGATGAGTACATGGAGTTCTGTTTAAGGAAGAGCCTTGAATTACGTAAAGCCGTATTAAATTCTTATATGATATCATAATAAATAAAGAAATTAAAACATATTCAGTATTCGACTTTTATTGGTATTTGTAACTACAAAACTTTTTAGCTAAACTTGATTAAGACACACAAGTAGTTTCATGAGTGGGGGTGAGTGGGTGTAAAGAACTACAACGTTCAGTGGTGTCAGTTAAGCGCTCCCACACTAGAGTACTGGTGATTGGGGACGCTGTGTTGGGTTCTTGTGAATATATAACAACTTTGTGTTCAATGAAATAATATATTTTATATAATTTGGAAAAATAGGTCTAAACTCTCTCTAGTCCGAATATAAACTGAACTAAATCTGTTCTACTCGTTAGGTTCTCCCCTTGAATGTCTGACTGGACTCTCCAGCCTCCTTAGATTGTCGATAGTCTTAACCATATTTATTAACATACATAGATATTCATGTATGCTCTTAACAGCTGAGTAGATGATAGCGTTGCCACCAACTATATGGCAAAGTATTGTCAGATTGCCACAAATATCATATAATTTCTTGGGAGTACAATTTCATAGTATATCATATATTTTCTGTGTGTAAGTGAATTTAAGATCTGTCCATTTGCGACAAGTATAATACACATGGGGTATCGGGCTCCGAAAAACAGAGCTTCCTTTGGGCTGAGGAGTCTTTACGTCCCTATGAAACACAGAGCTCCGGCCATAGGATGGGGCACCCACTAATCTACGTAGCGCTTTATTTTGGAAACATTGCCGGATTTAAACGTTGCAGTAAGACGCTGTGGCCCACAGTTGAAAGACTTATGCCCATACGAGCTTTGGGATGGACTTGTATAGCGAACGTGAGATGATGGAGGAATTTTCAGCATGCCTCTGGACGATTTCGTAGCTGTTCCTAATAGTATATCATATATGAAAATATCTTTGAATGTTCAACAAAATATATTTAAATAATGTATTTGCCTATAATTGCATTTTTCTTCTCCCCAAGCTCAATAGTTTGGGTTATGTGAATGGTTCTTAATCTTATGTTTTATTTTATTGTCTCAAATTAAAGAATGAGTGACGAATTAAAAGTACAGAAATATTTCACTTTGTTACGAAGGGATCCGTTTTTATCTAGACGCGGGTTTCGGTTTGAAAAGGGAACACATCGTATCGCCAGTTGCCTAAAGATGACTGACAACATTTAGTGTTGGGTAGCAACCGTGTCCTAGTCAAAATGCTCGGAAGTTTTGCCTTCCTTTGCGGCTTACTTAGATATGGGACTTAACCCATGGAGAGAAGGACGAAAATGAATCAAATTGTGTCGAGTTTTTAAATGCGATAATATGTATGTGGGAATTAATATTTATATTTTTAATAATAAAAGTTACTCTGTTGTTTTACACAATCGATATTTAATATTGTATTGTTATTTAAATGATATTCATTAAATAAATTTTTAAACTTCAACTTGCCTTCAATTTTTTATTCCCTCTTGGAACTTTGTATCTATTTGAGATATTTATGGAGCTCATCTGTCTTTCTTTTTCTCTCGTTTTCTATCTCATTCATGGGCACTGCTACTGATTGTGTCCTGCTGTCAACCTGACAGTCACTTCCGCTGCCTGTGCTGCTCATCTGTCTTGGCCAGGACACTGTCTGTCGCTGTTCGCAGCAGTTCCTGTTGTCCTCCCCCCCTCCACCACCTCGCCCATTTGCCTGCCCATCAATTCTCTGGCCGTCTCTGTGCTGACGGCTCATTAGCATGTGTGCGTGCGCACTTTCTGTGTGTGTGTGTGTGAATCCCCCTCTCTGTCTGCTGCCGCTGCCTTCGCCCCAGTTGTCAGCCTGTCAGCCGCTTCGCCATTAATTTCGCCAGCCATGCAAAGCCGCGCTTCGGCGCGCCTCGAGCTCTGTAAAAACTAACCTAACCTGCAGTGTAATGCGTTGTATTGTTCACGCAAAATTTATTTCCGCTGCGTCATGAACATCCTGCTGTCGTCGCTGATGTGCGGGTATGTTGCTGCTACAGTTGTTGCTGTTGTTGTTGTTACTGTTGCTGTTGTTAATTTACGTAATAAATACGCTTGAAAATTTTGCACGCACATGCAAAATGAATTACGTCGCTTGACGTTGGCGCACTAGCAACAGCAACAGCAACAGCAGAAGCAGCAGCAGCAACAGCAGAAGCAGCAGCAGCAACAACAACAACGACAGCAGCAACTTAACTGTCACTTGTCACAGGAACGTTTCGTGGGGGCCCTTGGCAGCATGTCCTGGCAGAGCTCGGGCTGAGCTGAGCTGGCAGAGCCGGCGACGTTCTCGTCGTCTCTCACATGTCAACGCGCGTCGCTTTGCTTGGCATTTTTGTGATGTGAAATGAAGCAACGAGGTGACAGCCAAGGGGAGTTGCTGCTGCTGTTGCTGTTGCTGCAACCAGCAAACGGCAGCAACAGCAGTACAAAATGAATTACTCGCGTGAACAACAAAAACTGTCAGGGGCTGTCAGGCTATGCCATGGCGCAGGAGGCGGCTGTTGTTGTCATTGTTGCATGCGAGTGTGTGTGTGTGTGTGTGTGAGTGAGTGTTTGAGGTGTCAGCGCATCGCATTTGAAATGCTCAAACACACACACACACACACACACTCACTGAGAGAGCAGTTAACAACCAACAGTCAACGGCGACACGCTGGCAACATGGCAGCAGCAGCAGCAGAAGCAGCAACAGCAACTGCCTGCTGCCAGCGGCAACATGTTGCCAGAGCTACACATGCGTGCCTCTCCTTCTGTGGCACACTCCACAAGTGATTATCTTACCTAAATTGCTTGTAGCAATCCACCAAATTTGACGTCCTCGCAACTGAGGGCGTTGCTGCTGTCTTTGCGCATTTTTCTGCTGTTGTTGTTGTTGTCTGTTCTGCTGCTGCTGCGACTGCTGCTGCTGCTGCTGCTGCTGCTGTCGCAATTTTCATTTTCGCACTCCATTATAAAGTAATTTTTTTTACATTACTTATGCCTGTCAACGTCTGCTTTGACTGCTTTTCCTGTTTCCGCAGCAACGCCTCCTTGTCCTTAGCCGCGTCGTATCCTTCGTGGCTGGCAAAGATTAATATGTTGCCGCTCAGCCATTTCCTGGCCGCACTTTCAGCTTGGCTCCATCTACCTACCACCGCCCAGCTGAGCTCCTCCGGCGTGTGTGACAGTTTGCAAATGTGATTGACAACTGACACTTCCATATAAATTTAAAGCTTTCACACACACACACACACGCACAGCGAGTAGCGCGTTGACAGTCGACACAACACATTGCAAGCGAAGCAGAGGCCGCCTCGGAGCCCTGCCAAGCTCTGAATGACTGCCTGCCTGACTGTGTCTGTCTGTCTGTCTGTTTGTCTGACTGACTGACTGAGTGACTGACGGCCTGACTGATGGGCGTTACGACTCTGCATGACGACGTCTGATGGACAGCCTGCCAGCAGTTGGGCGTGTTTTGCCATCAAGCAGCCAGCTCAGCTCAACTCAGCTGGAAACAGCAAATGGCCATGTCCACCAATTACAGCAACCGACTTCTAATGGAGACGTGTAATGGGCTAGCGCAAACCACCAAATTTATTAAAAGCCCAATTCAAATAAGCAACTCTGAGCAACTCTACTCGAACTGAGGTACCCTCTAAGCAGATTGGCTTAGATAGAAGCATAAGTATAGAATTGTTTATATTTAATAATATGTATATACATTTCATATAATAAAATATCATTTAATAAATAAATATTTCGTTTTTCTTTATTTTTTTCTACTTTTAGTTTAGTAATTTCTTCTTATTTCAGTGCATTAAATTAATAATTAGTACTAATTAGCATATTGGCGCAACTACACAAGCATACGTTTAGAATTGTTTATATTTAATAATATGTATATAAGTTTCATAAAATAAAAAATAATTAAATAAATAAATATTTGGTTTTTCCTTTTTTCTACATTTAGTTTAGCAATTTCTTTTTATTTCAGTGTATTAAATTAATAGCTAATACTATGAATCTCTTTATATATTATATGTATTTAATGCCAGCAGCGATCTCAATTTG